ATTCCCTCAACACGTGTCTCCAAACGGCCCAAACGCTCTCAAGTTTCATTTACCCTAATCTGGATGCCATCCACCCTGCCCACATACACACTAAGTCGACTGTTCATAGTGTCCATCTCCCTCTTAGCTGCATGGGCATCCTGGCGAGCAGCACGTGACATATCAGTGGAAATGCGGATGTTACGGTGGGCTGTATGCATCTCAGTCGTCAAAGTCCCCATAGCCTGCTGGAGACTCTGTACGTCTCGACTGGTCCCCGTGGTGGTGGTGAAAATCTGGCGCCACAGCTGTGCATTTAACTCAACCTATGGTGGTGGAGCTTGAGGATCTCTTGCTCTGCTTGCTCGTGACCTTGCTCTTCCTGCTGTCTGCGCCTTTCAATTTCTTGCTTTTCCCAGTGTTTTAACCTGGCTCTATCTAAGGCCTCCAAGGTACTGCGCTTTATGGTGGGGCTGGGTTTGGTAGCCACTTCCCCGGATATAATATTTATACCAGCAGCTATGCAAATTCCGGAGATGAGGCTTGGAAAGATCATTGAGCTGTGTCTATCTCCCAAAGTACCCACATGATGTATCTGATCATAGCAAAGAGTGGCAAGATCAACCTTATTACCTCGCACCAAGTGATAAAGGAATCCAACTGTGGGATCTGTGAATGTGGTCCTGTGAGAGGTCGGCTCAATGTTGTGGCACATAAACAGCCACAGGATGGCTATAGATGGTGTCAGCTCAATCTGATGCCACTCGGTAGTGGGGAGTAGCCATGCATTTTGTCGGCCCAATAAGATCTCCGCCACTTCAGGCCAATTGAAGTCACCTGGTATAGGCGTTATGTTTTCCCACGTGAGCTAGTAGTAGTCTTGAATAACTTCGGGTGAGAATGTGATCCATTTTCCCCTGACCCAAGTCTGATGTAGGTGGTCGGACCCTGGTGTGTCAATTTCTGTATTGAAGTTGGCGTAAAATTCCCCCACCAACAATTCATAACTCCGATGTGGCTGCTCCACTATTTTATCCCATCCACAGTTATGCACCAAAGTAGTCAGCTCGAAGCCAGGAAAGTCTTCCAATTTAACAGCCCGTTCTAGTGTCACTGTCCATCGACTCACTATGTTTTCATAACGGGCTGCTGCCTCGGAAGTCAAGAATCTTTGTATACCTCCTTCAAGCACTCGAGTGCGTGCTGTGCCGGATGATGACCCAATCTTCTCCTTTCCTTTTGAAGTTCGTTTTGGTGGCATCCTGCAAAGTTGGAAAATAGCTAGCATTAGACATCTTGTTATACAGCGAGAAATCGCATGAAATGAAAAGCACATAATTCACGAATCCCCCAAACTTGTTTCAATAAGCATGTATACTACCACGGTGTAATGAACAATGTATGATGATTAGAGTAGTATAAATGTATAGTCCATATGAAAATATAAGAAAATTTGGGAGAATATGCTCATAGTTAAAGGGTTGGAGTCATGATTGAGTGTACACCTTCGACCTCGGGCACCATCGAGAATTATCAAGATTGTCCCGGGCAACCTCCGGGCATATGGAAGTATGCAATGAGGTCTAGCACATACCCAAATTTTAGCTCAATCGGAGTTCATTTGGTGTGTCAAATAGTAGTGTAAAATAAGGGACGGGGGGTGCTGTGGGCATGCTATGACGTAGCTATTTTTGTGCATGTGTGTGTTGATGTCGTCTAAGTCACATTGTTTGGTAATACGTCACAACGAGTTATTCCATTCAACGAATAGTCAAATGCCATGCTAGATGTTCATAAATGTATTAGATTATCAAAATGAGCATTTTATCGAACATGTTGTATGCATTGCGAGACCTCCATATACTAGCCAAAAATTTACTATTTCACATGGTTCCCCATTCAAAAATCAATCACCAAGCGCATACACATCCATCAATCAAATGAATTTAAGGTAACATATACCAAAATACCCAAAAATTATCAATGAGGCAATTTATCAAACACCAAGCATGCATTCTTTAGAAATCCATATAAAACCCAATAACTCAAAATTCGAATTATCCCATGACACAATTGAAGTGCAAATACTACATTCCATCCATCATCAACACCCCAATCACCCCAAAATGCAGAAAATCAATTCAAAATAACTCAAACAAACGAGCACAATGGAGGAGATAGTTAAAAGTAATACCTTCAAGATGATGTGCAACTCTAAACTCGAGATCCTTGTGTAGTGTAGGTGAATGAGATGTAACCAAGTGTAGAAATTGACTAAGAAGAATTTGGGCGAGAGAGGATGTGGGAAGAAATCGATTTGAGAATAAAAGAAGTGATCCGGGCGTGGGTTAAAAACCCACGCCTTTATTGTTCTATGCGGCCGCATAGTTAAAATCTATGCGGTCGCATAGGAGTAATGTTTTTGTGGTTTTTGGTTTCGGTAGGTATCTATACGGTCGCATAGACAATATATATATATTTTTTTGATAAAGAAATAAAATAAAAGAAATAAAAAAAGTGCCATTTTTTTTTGATAAATGAGCCGACCCTCAACGTCCCCAATTTTTCAGAAACAAATTTTTAAAATATTGACGTGTGAAATTTAGAAAACATAATATTTCTCGAAATACGTGAATTCCACACTCAACTACCCAAAACAACGTAAATCAACCCGAACTTGTGTGTGATACTTAAAGACTCGTGTGCACAGTGCTTGGACTCTTTTAACATGCCTAGATGATCGATGACCACATAACGGAATACTAAATGAATTTGAAAATAAACTTCCTAATTTAATGCAGAAAACATAATAAGGTAAATAAACAAATAAAAAGGATACAGTGGGTTGCCTCCCACTCAGCGCTAAATTATAGTCGATAGCTCGACTTTTCTGCGGTTGCTTCATTCTGGCGTCTCGAGTTGAACGGTTGACTTTTGGTTAGAGAAGTCACCGCCCCAGTAGTGTTTCAACCTTTGCCCATTGACAGTGAAGGTACCCTTATTCTCATCGCTCACTTGTATAGCCCCATATGGTAGAACTTTTGTAACTGTGTAGGGACCCGACCACCGTGATCATAGTTTTCCTAGGAATAACTTGAGTCTCGAATTATACAGTAGTACTTGCTGCCCCACTTCGAATACTCGCCTCTGAATGTGCATATCATGCCACTTCTTGGTTCGTTCCTTGTAAAATTTTGCATTTTCATAAGCCTCCATTCTAAATTCATGTAACTCATTCAGTTGCAGTAGACGCTTTTTTCCGGCGACATTCAAGTCCATATTTAACTGTTTCATAGCCCAATATGCCCGATGCTCCATTTCTAATGGCAGATGACATGCTTTCCCAAAGACTAGGCGGTATGGAGACATGCCGATCGGGGTCTTGAATGCTGTTCTGTAAGCCCATAATGCATCGTCCAGCTTTTTAGACCAATCCTTTCTAGATGAATTCACAGTGACTTCTAGTATTCTTTTCAGCTGCCGATTAGATATCTCAACTTGCCTGCTGGTTTGTGGATGATATGGAGTAGCAACGCGGTGTTTAACGCCATATTTATTCAGTAGCTGCTCAAACTGGCGATTACAGAAATGCTTGCCCCCATCGCTGATTATAGCCCGCGGTGTACCATATCGGGTGAAAATGTATTTCTTCAAGAAACCAATTACTGTCTTTGAGTCATTTGTTGGCAATACAACTGCTTCCACCCATTTTGAGACGTAATCCACTGCCACCAAGATATACTGGTTTGAGAACGAAGGGGGAAAAGGTCCCATGAAATCAATTCCCCATACATCAAATATCTCCACTTCCAAAATATTGTTCAGTGGCATTTCATTTCTCCTCGAGATATTCCCAGTGCGTTGACATCTGTCACATCTCTTAACAAACTCAAATGTGTCTTTAAACAATGTAGGCCAGTAGAAACCTGATTGTAGAATCTTTGCAGCTGTTTTTGAAGCTCCAAAGTGTCCTGCATATGCGGATGAGTGACAGTGCTCGAGAATCTCATGTACTTCTTCTTCAGGTACGCACCTCCTCACTATCCGATCAGCTCCTCGTCTATAAAGAATTGGATCCTCCCAGAAATAGTATTTTAACTCGGCGAAATTTTTTTTCTTTGGTGACTGGAGTAGTCAGGCTGTGGAATGGAACTGGCCAAGTAATTGACAATATCTGCGTACTAAGGTGCTTCATCCACTCTCAACATCTGTTCATCCGGGAAGACCTCATTTATATCCACTAAATCTTCCGTCTCCCCAGATTCTAGTCTGTATAGGTGATCTGCTACTACGTTCTCGGTGCCCTTCTTGTCGCGTATCTCGATGTCAAATTCTTGCAACAACAGCACCCAACGAATTAATCTCGGCTTTGCATCCTTCTTTGTGAGCAAATACTTCAATGCAGCATGATCAGTATAGACGATGATTATAGATCCGACAAGGAATGACCTGAATTTGTCAAATGCAAACACCACAGCCAACAGCTCCTTTTCAGTGGTTGCATAATTTAGTTGTGCATCATTTAGAGTTCTGCTTGCATAGTAGATCACATGAAAAATCTTGTTCCTCCACTGTCCCAATACTGCACCTACAGCGTGATCACTTGCATCACACATCAATTCAAAAGGTAATTCCCAGTCTAGCGCTACAAGCACTGGTGCTGTCGTAAGCTTTTCCTTTAAAGTGTTGAAGGCTGTGAGACAATCCTCATTGAACTCAAAAGTTGCATCTTTCATTAGTAAATTGCACAAAGGTTTAGTGATCTTCGAGAAATCTTTTATAAACCTCCGGTAGAACCCAGCGTGCCCCCAAAAACTGCGAACTCCTTTAATTGATGTAGGCGGTGGTAATTTCTCAATCACTTAAATTTTTGCCTTGTCTACCTCAATTCCTTTTGCCGATATCCTATGCCCAAGTACAATGCCTTCCTGCACCATAAAGTGACATTTTTCCCAATTT